AAAAAAAATCACTCCCGCTTCATTTTGCTTGAGGCATGGGATATTAAAATTTTCTTTTTAAAAGCCCACATCTGTGGAAAACATAGCCCTATCTACTTTAGCGAGAGAGGCAAGAACTTTAGCTCAGGTCTACCCCCCCCCACCCCCCGCCCACCCCCAAACACCTCAGAAGAAAGGGAAAACGCTAAAATAGTCAGAGCACCCTTTCATAATTAAGATGAGTTCTTATTGCCATTTCGCTTTCAACGTCTTTTTTCACTTTTCTCTGTGTGTCTTGAAACATCGTCTTGTATGACGTAAACAAAACGTAGTAAACAAAATTCTCCACGCAGCGATTTGAAAGGTGTTAATTAGCACCATGGGACAGAACGTCAGCTCGTTAACCAGGGGGCGCTGTACGAGCGAGACCTGGGCTAACCACGTGATGGGCACAGGTGCACGTGAGGTGAGAACTGAGAAGGCACCTGTAAGGTGAATCCAACCCACACCTGGCGCGGACAGCAGTAGCCCAGGGCTTCCCGGCTCTCATGATTGGCACATGAGATAAGACTCAGAACTTAATGCAACTTAACTCATCTGTTGCCACCTGCTTTCCCTCCGTTTGGCTTTTCCTCCAAGGAGGCCATGGAAATGTAAGTCCTTAGCGTTAGGGACTTTTTGTCAGGTGAAAACTGTATCCCTTGCAAATATTTCAGGGGAGACTTTGAGAGTTAACTTCTGTCTTATTACAGCCTAAATATATTACAACACTGACATTATTATGTTACACGGTGCTGTGGTTTCAAACTGCCTATTTGCTTGATACATAGGAACTGGTGTATTTCCCACACAAATAACGTTTTGAAATGAATCTTTTTTTACCCTTTTCTATGAAAATTTGCTGTGCAGTCTTCACTTACAAGCTTTTGTCAGTGAACTCGAGAAAAAAGCCTATATGAAACATGGAGCACTGTTTGAGTAGGTTAAATTAATACGGGTGGGTTGCATAAAAGTATGTTGTTGAAATAGCTGCGCAGGCGCACACATACGTTAGAATTGTTCCTCGCTGACACTATCTTATTCCATCTGTTACACATTGGGTAACACAGAGCCTGTGGTTGGTTGGCGGGTATTCTAGTCTGGTTTGCTTCTTCTGTTTCCTATCAAACATCTAGCGTCCTTATCTCTTCTCCTTACTTTCTTTGTATGCTACTCTCTAGTATCAACTCAAAAGGGTGTCAATTATAGGACCTATATTTTGTGTTGAAATTGCCTTAAAACTCTTACTTAAAATAAAACCATAACTAAAAATACAGAGCCTTCCATACCAAGGAAAGAATAGATCTAGTTACTCACGTCTTGTTAACTTTGAAGTCTGAAGAAGTGGAAGCCACACTGAAAGAGATTTTGTGTTATGAAGAGAGGGAAAGATGACTGGAGTGATGGATCAAATTAGAATTGAAGGGATATTCGGACATAAGTAGGTGGAAAAGTAGGTGAGTAGATAGGCAACTAGGCAGGTAGATGGACTAGGAAGAATTAGTGGATGGATGAATGGGGGATGGGTGGGTGGGTGGGTGAATGCATGGATGGATAAATGAATGGATGGATAGATATCATGTTATAAGGTTTATCTATATTAATCAAGAGGGAAAAACCCGTGATCAATGATAAATGCAAAGAGGGAAATGGAAATGGTGCAAGTGCAGCCAGTGGTTCCCTCCAGTTCCCAATTTTCAGTTTATTTTTTTTATTTTTTTATTTTATTTTTTTGGCCATCAAGTACAAACACAAAAAGGTAGATCTCACTGTGTCTCTGTCTCTCTGTCCCTGTCCCTATTTCACTTTGTCTGTTTCTCTTGCTCTCTCTCTCTCTCTCTCTCTCTCTCTCTCTCTCTCTCTCT